TTTGTCAATTTACTCCTACATAGCATAGTTGCCTCAAGTAGCCTCCTTGCTCCCGTACTTTCTTCTGACTAAATTAATCCCTTATCAGTGTTTTCACCTTTGCCACCATCTTTGCAGCTTCTTTATTTTTATTTTTTTTTCTCAAGCTGCAATAACCTCCAGCTGATTAGCTTTAGTTACAGCCATGTCAAAAGTTGTGTCTTGCTACTGGTACATGCATTTATTACATTCATTTGCATTCAATTAAAAACACATATGCATTAAACCCTGGAGACTTGCTTTTTAGAAAACAGGTTTTACCTCAGATATTATGGCTCTGCATCAAAATATAGGCACAGAGGCCTCCACTAGGCTTCAGAGAACTCTGAATTTCTTAGAGTCATACTCAGCTGCATGAAATCATTAATTAATACTATATCCTTTTTCAATGGACAATGGGGACACTGACTTTCAGCAAGGTAAACTTTATTTTTAGAGCTGGGTAGAGCTAGAATAGTTTCTGGTTCAGTGTTCATGAATTCAAATGCAGGTTCCAATAGTTACCTCTCTAAAGCCCTAGGAAAGTAATTTTACCTGTTTATTTCTTTATGAGACTATTATTCCATTTTTTTACTGAAAGAATTAAGTGCTTTAAAACATGCCCTTTCCATGAAAATACCTTATTTCTAGAAAATGATGGTGTAAAATCTCTCACCTCTTTCTTTTTCTGCCCCTTCTCCAAAATCTCCAAACCCCATACAACATCCAAACGCAAGAGAAAAGCAAATGGGTGTGGAGATACTGCACCAGTCTGTCAAAACAGAAGCCAAGAAAGAAACAGCTGTGCAGGTAATTTATCCATAAAAAAAAAAAATCCCAAAAACAAAAAAAAAAAAAAACCCCCAAAAAAAAAAAAAAAAAAAACAAACCAAAAAAAAAAAAACCAAGGTCATTAATAATTCAAGGAAAAAGCCCCAGACTCTCCTTTTCCATAGGGAATATATTCGTGAACCTTTCTAAAAAAATCAAAGTTATTGCTTACAGGTTCACCTCATCAGGATTAAAAAAAAAAAAAAAAAAAAAAATAGTTCATTAATACATAAATCCAGAAAAGAAATCAAGACAACCTCACCTCCTTCCACTTGCAAGTTTCCTGACCCATCCAGCTGCCAATCCATGTGAACACCCACAGCTGTGGGACCCTCCTGCATCCCAGGAAGCAGCTGAAACCTGGCAGCTCTGAGGGAAGCAGCCCCTGATAAAACCCTTTCCCACTTCAACAGCTGCTGCCAGTCATCTCATCACAGGCCTGTCAGCAATGGAAAGTATCAGCTCAGTTTGCCCCTTGGAGGTATAAATAAAGCGTTCACAAAGTTCTCTGTAAGAATTTTCTCACTGTAATTTTTCAGACGATGTTAAAAGTTTCTTTCAAATTAAACGGAGAGCAGGATTTAAAAAGATGAAAAATAATGCTTGGTCAAGTTTATAAAAGAAATGAACAGAGAAGTGGTGTTTCTTTCATGATATGACAGAAAGTTGATGGTTTCACTTTTATTTTCCTTCGAAATGGGTTGAGGTGCAAAAATAACAAAAAATTACGTAAGATGAAAACCAGAGGAAATTCTTTTCACAAAGATCTAGTAATTATTTCCTATCATCTTCCCACTTAAGAACCTGAACCTTGTTTTATATAGAACTTTATGTCCCCAAATAACTTTTTCTCTTTATAAAAGTCAATCACTTCTCTAATGTAAAATATGCTTAGGTACAGCAGATTGTTGCATAAAGTAACAGTGAGCAAGCCAATATATTAAGATGGTTATCTAGAATTTTCTGCTGAAATTCACAGAAAAAATAGTGATGGTAACCTGCAAACCCTTAGATACATATTCTGAAATCCCAAATTTTAGAGCAATTCAGATCTTGGACTTTAACTTTTCATCCCTCATTAAGCTTCCTGTGTATTGAAAGATGACCTGTTCTCCACTATCCTGGGAACAATTATGCACATGCCAAAGTTAATATGCTGTAAGCAATCATTGCAATGACCCTTAGTGCATGTAAAATAAGCAGGCATGTATATCCTAGTAAGTTTTAGGCCACAATTTATTTTACCACACAATTTATACTTTAATCACTTTGTTTAGATTGGTGAGGAAGAATGGTAAGAGAAGCCTTTGTGAAACTTGGAGAAATCAGAGACAACAAATTGTGTGAGTCACCAGCACAGCCTGCCTCTTTCTACAGTGTCTAGGCACATACTGATTATTAAGATTTCTTACACTTCTAAATAATTTGCTATCATGGCTAAAATGCTGCAGTGAGAAGTGTCTCTGCTATTTTTTCATAAAAAGAATTCTCCAGGTTGAGTCCTTTGTGCTTCATCAGGAACTCACCAAACTCAGTCAGTCTCTGCCAGCACAGGCATCTCCTTGCATGAAACTCATTGCACACAGCCTGAGCAGCACCCTTGGAAGAAAAATGGTTCTGTCTCTCCTTGTAACTTCACCAGAAAAAGACCTCAAGGCTTGGCTTCGGGATCCTGAGATATATGGCAGCCAAGAGAGCAGCTTGCAGCTTTCTGGGTTTGTGAGAGTAGTTGGAAGCTTGGATCCTGCCAGAAGGGAGATGCATCACAGGGAATTCTGTGATGCTCTGCAGCACAAACACTTTTAGTGGAAGATCTTATGTATCAGGAATGCAAATTGAAATAGCTATTCTCTACAAGAGCTCTCAGGTTACAAAAAATAGTGTTATAAAGAAAAAATATGCGACAAAGAACAAGAGCAAGGAAAGTTTCCCAGAAACTTTTGTAAAGAAGAAATAAACAATGCCATTCCCCACTCACTGAATGATATAATGGTGATTGGAGAGACTGAGAGACAACAAGGAACAAAAAGGAAGAGAAAAGAAGCAACGAAAAGGAGTTACAAACTTAGTTTTCCAGTTCTGAAAGGCATTGAAGTGTGGCCCTTTTGGCTTATTTGCAAAGCATGTAGCAAACACAAGAGAACAGTGTGGAAGTTCAGCTGTGACTCACTGTGTATGTGGATTGCACAAGGACTTGATCTTCTTGAAACAGCAAGATAAAAAGCAACATTTCTATGAAAACAGGTAGCTTTGCATCTGTAGCATTTTACTTAAGTATCCATTCAAGCCTTCCATAAATTTGTGCAAACAGAATAGACACTGTAAATAATACCAGACATCAGAATTGAGTGTCAGTTTTTGAAATGAAGAAAATTCTTAAAATCAGGGTTCATGAAAAGCAAGACTCTCAAAGGCTTCTTAAAGACTCAAGTATGTCTTACAGTTCAATCAGAAAAAAAAAATTCTCCATTTTCTTTTCTTTTAGCCTTTAGAACTAAGAAAAACTGCCTCCCTCCAAAGTTACCTGTGCCTTGTTTTTAACAACTTATATTTCTGTGCTTAGCAAGTCTGACCTCCCCATCTTAGGATCCTCACCTTCCTCATTTCCCCCAATACAAGTCCCTTTTTACAGGGAGTAAATAGTTAATGACACTTCCCTGTCTCCTCCTCACAGCCTCCTTTGTCATCCAAAGGCTTGGAAGCATCTCCTGCATGCGGCAGCAGCTAAGTATGGTCTAATTTAATGTGTGAATTTCAGCTCATTCTTATTCAACAACAGCATCTGAGCATATGTGAGCATTTCTGCTTGTGGGTAGGTTCTACTGAAGTCAGCAGGGTTGCAAACACAACTTTTATGTCTTGCTGGATCATATTTACTTCAGAGTGATCTCCTCAGTGCCTGGCCATGGTGTGAGCAACAGGAGTCAGCTCAGTTCTGAGCAGCCATTCCCCTGATGCACTGAGCAGGGCATCTCATAGATATGCACAAATGCCTGTGTATTCACATGCACAGTTACAGATATATGGGTATTTGGGATGCACACACATCCCACACACATTGCTTCTGACAAGATATGAACAGTGAAGCTCTTCTAAATCCCAGCTAGTTTTATATTATGGTATCATCGCACTGACTCCTGTGCTGGTGTTCATAGTGGTTCTTGGATGAGGGAAGAGATGAGGATCTGACTCCATGTTTCAGAAGGCTTGATTTATTATTTTATGATATATATGATATTAAAACTATACTAAAAGAATAGAAGAAAGGATTTCATCAGAAGGCCAGCTAAGAATAGAATAGGAAAGAATGATAACAAAGGCAGCTGTCTTGGACTTTCTGTCTGAGCCAGCTGACTGTGATTGGCCATTAATTACAAAGAACCAACATGGGTCAATCAAAGATGCACCTGTTGCATTCCACTGCAGCAGATAATCATTGTTTATATTTTGCTCCTGAGGCCTCTCAGCTTCTCAGGAGGAAAAATCCTAAGGAAAGGATTTTTCATAAAAGATATCTGTGACAAAAGCCCACGAGAGGGGGCCACCACATGCCACTGGCCACCGCAGCTGCCTGCCACCGCCTGCCCAAGCCCAGCCACCCACCACATGTCACAGAGGCACCATAAGGTCTGGTTTACCTCTGCCAAAGCCTGCTCAAGCCCTGACCTGAGTTCAGCCTGTTCCTGAGGCCTTGGACAGCCCTGTGCCAGCAGCCACAGCTGCTCTTGCTCCAGTGGGTGCTGTGCAGTGGCAGCCCTGGGCTCCTCCAAGCGGCTCTGCTGTCGCAGCCATCTTTTATGGAAAATCCTTTCCTTAGGATTTTTCCTCCTGAGAAGCTGAGAGGCCTCAGGAACAAAATGTAAACATTGATTATCTGCTGCTGTGGAATGCAACAGGCGCATCTCAATCTGGGATTGGCCCGTGTTGGATGTTTGTAATTAATGGCCAATCACACCCCAGCTGGCTTGGACAGAAAGCCAATCCACAAGCCTTTGTTATCATTCTTTGCTATTCTATTCTTAGCTAGCCTTCTGATGAAATCCTTTCTTCTACTCTTTTAGTACAGTCTTAATGTAATATATATCCTAAAATAATAAATCAAGCCTTCTTAAACATGGAGTCAGATCCTCATCTCTTCCCTCATCCAAGAACCCCTGTGAACACGGTCGCACTCTGCCACGTGTCCTTCTCCTCCAGCAGTTGCTGAGCTGTTCCTGCTCACCTCTGCCTCCCCTGGGTCTCACCCTGCACGCTGGGTTAGAGTGAGGGACCCTCAGGCCCTGCCCCCTTTGCCCACTCAGTGTCCCCAGTTCCTCTCTCATTGATAAGGCAGAGCTGCTGTTGCTGCTCACGTTGGCTGGGATTGATGAAAACCTCCACCTCCCACCACTGCTGCATTCCTCTTCTTCCTTCTTGCTCGCAGAAATGCCACGTCTCCCAGGTGTTCAGTCCATTCCTTCACATCCTTAGAAGGGCCAATCTGTCCAAGGAAGGGCAGTCACTGCTATTGCTCTGTGACATTTGTAGCTTCAACTTTTGCCATCTTTCCAGATGTTGCAGAAATACTCAAACAGCTTCTAAAACAGTAAGAAAGAAACATTGAAAACTTTTAAATCTGTTCTACATGACTACTCATAGCGCCAGCGTTTTTTATTCTAATAAACTCTACTTGTATTTAATGCCACGCAGAAATAGAGTCTGCATATTGAAATGCTTGGGGTGCTCTCTTGTTTCCTAGTCAGTACAGGAAAGTGCTACAGTAACAACAGTAATAATTCCTCCTTTCTTAAGAGAAGATGTTTCTAACCCCAGAATCCCTAGAATCTGGATTCACCAGGTTTACCTATGCCCATGGTCCCTGGGAGATGAGAATTTCTCACTGTTCCCACTTTTCCCCTTTCCTGTGAAGGCTTCTGCAAACTTGTCCCTTGTGCCTCATCCCTGAGACCCTGCACTGGAGATCTAGAAGGAAGGACCTGCACTCAGCTGTTAACATTGCTCCTCAAATTTTTAACCTGAAGCAAATGTTTAATGAAAGAGATGCAAGAGCAGAGGTTAATGCAAAATTAATTTGCCAAAAGAGGATCAGAGATGCCAGGCTTAACTATGAAATTAACCATGAAAAAGGTAATTTCAAAATAAAAAAAAAAACCCAAACCACTAAGACAGGAGAAAGTGGTGTGTAGGAGAAGGAGGAAATAAGCTAAAAAAAAAAATAAAGGGAGAGACATATTTGTCCTGAGTAGTCTTTTATCTGTTTCTATGATTTCTCAAGCTCTTGAGTTCTGAGCCAAGATCAATTGGGATTAATCAGTTGTATAGAAAACACTGAGAACTCATTGCAGGCTTTTAGGGTTTAAATTTGTTTATTGAGCACAATTTGGTTAGCATCAGGTGCTGAAGTTACAGACACCAACACTAGCATAGAAATTACTTTATTTAGCTCCCAGTTGGAAGTTTCTATAGCAACTGGGTCCTATAACAGAAAGCTGAGTTTCTGCCACACGAATACTGCTGCTGGTAGAGATTGTTAATACTGTATTTTTGGAGTACTCAGCTGTTCCTTAATTCTTTCTAAGCCCCAACCCTCCTTTTTCTGAGGTCTTTCTTCAGCATAAATCTGCCTGCTTAGTCATACTTGCAATTGTACCTTGTGCTCTTAACCGAAAGGTAAGAGCAAAATGTACAATTTCTTCTTTGGCTGTAACAAAAACTTTTTATTTCAGTGCAGATTCAGCTTCCTTGGAAGGGAAGCAGAGTTCCCTGTCCTGCATTATCAAGCTGGAGGGAGAGGATGCTGAAGTTGCCAGGAGTGTCCAGATTAAGATGTCTCTCCTGGACCTACTACTACTAATGAATTTATACTTAGGGCAAATTCTGTGGATGTAACTCATGTCCCAAATTCAGAACACAATCTCACCTCAACCTGAAACCAGCTCATGCTTTTAGGTAGGGTCAGAGTAAAGCTGTGACACTTGGCTTGCAAAGATTGGAGACCTTGTTGCAATTCCTCCATGCATTGGAAACTCATGGCTGATATTGAATTCCAGCTGTTAAACTCCTCCATGCACTTTCTGCCTTATCCCTACATTACTGAACTGTGCTTAAAAGCTGTGGGAGTACTCCATAATGAGAACTTATTATAGCAGAGTGAACAGATGTTTCTTTTACCTGTAAGACATCTTTATTTATACATCTTTCACAACTGTGAATCAATAGCCTTTCCTAGCTACTAGATTTATTTTGAGGGGACACAAACATTTGTATGAGGTGTTGGACGGAGATGTAAAACATTGTTGGGAACAGAAGTAGGGGTTTGGTTGGCTCAGCAGTTAAGAGTAATTTTGAGATTCCTTTCTTGGTATGTGGGTTGTGGTTTTGGGGTTTGGTTTTGTTTATTTTTAATTTATTTTTCATGTTGTCATTTATGGATAAAACTATGGCAGTTTGAATCATTAGATGTTTATACTCTCTAGGATGGTTTTTAACTTACCTGGTTTAATTTCTTCTACATCAAAGAGAAATATGTTTTCTGCTCAAAACCCTCTGGAGATGTCCCTTATGCTGTCCTGGAGACCTCTGTCCCATGAGACAAAGCACCACCAGCTATCTCAAAGCCTCAGAAAACAAAGCTTGTATCAACAAAAGGCAAATTTAAATTTGGTGACTCAGGCACAGCACAGAACATATGTTTTTAATAGCAACAGCTTCAAGTATCCCTAGGCAGGTGGCCACTGCAACCAGAATTAATTTGTGTGGTTCTTCACAGGTGGCAAAGCCTCACTCCACAGCTCAGGCAGCAGCTCCAAGAGGGCAGGGAGAGTGAACACTGGCAGGATGACCTGGCTGTGCACTTCAGGAGAGCTGGGGGCTGTGTGGGCTTTTATGGAAAGCGAAGGGAGATGACCCATCCTTTGATCAGCATCGAACTCCGATTTATTGATTCACCAGGCATATTTTATAACAGTGTTAATTAAGCTATACATATTGCAAAATCTGAGCTCATCATAGGTCACAGATTAAACACCAAACCCTCCTTTTGTTTTCAATACCCGTGGTTTGTTATTGAAACCAAGATTTGTGTTCTCACCCTGATATGAAAGGTTCTCAAGGCCCCCATGTTTGTCACTTTTGCTTTCCCATACTTTATCCAAAGACAAGGTATTTACTTGTTATTGAAGACAGGCTTGAGAACTCTTGCTGTTTACAAAAACATGCCTGAGAAATAAGCTTGAGAATTAGCTGCTTACAGCTGCCTTTTACTTCTCCATCAGCTGATATTTTCATGGCCTTTTTTCCTTCAAGCCATGTCTGAGCAAAATTCTCCAACAGGCTTTGGGGTTTTACTTTTGCAGAAGGAAGAAATGCAACAAACCTGGAGTTCACTACCATCAGGTCCAGCCCTGGTCTGTGTTGGGGAAGTCTAGGTGGCTGGGATGTTGGCTTTTTGCTTCTGTTATCTTTCCAGTGCTGCTCACTCTGGCTGTCTCTTATCATTCCTAATAGGGGCTTTTGATTTTCCACCTGACCTTAATAAAATGGGATCATCCTTGCTAAGGTTTATAGGATTGCTATTTTAAGTGCTGGCAGTTTGAGAATACTTGTCTGAAGAAGTGTTTTCCTTTCCCAGAGCCCTGATTTTTACTACCCAGTCCTGGGCTGGTTTCCCTGTCCTAGAATATTGAGTTGAGGCCATGTGTGGGATGCTGCAGGGGTGTCCCATCAATCCAGGCACATTTTGTCTCTGGCAGCTGCAGTCATTTCATGTCTCTTGCAGTCTCTTCCAAGAAATTTACATCTTGTTCTCTAAATTCTTAACATCTCACTGCTGAGTTGCTGGGAGGGCCTGTTTTGGAAAAGGAAATCAGAATCCCAGAGAAACCTTTGTTTCCACACAGTGCTGAAGGCAACAAGAGTCTCTGGGAGACTGGTGGGAAGATTAAAATGCTGGACTCTGTTGCCTTAGAATCATTCTTCTTGTCTGCAGTGAGTCATCCAGCACCACAAGCAATCTCAGCATGCCCTCCTGCTGCTCCTGGTGCCCAGAGAGCACACAAATCCAGCAGAGGATGTGCTGCCACCATCTTTTGGCAAAACACCTCTCCCTGCAGCACTGAGGGTTTTCATTTCCTTCTGTTTTGCCGTCCCAGGTTTCTGGCTTCTCCCTTAACAACCTTTGAAGAGTTTTTTTTTTTCAAAATGGCAGCTGCAAAGGTCACCTCTTTCTCTGCTTCTTGCTTGCCTGGAAACAGCAATCGTGCTTTAGAACAGAGATGCAAGGCAGCTTTCCAGAGCTTGAAAATCCACTTAACACATTGTCTACAGCCTGCAAAAAAACCCCAAACTGACCAAGAAAGAATAAAAAGACCCAAGCAAACAAACAAACGAACAACACCTAAAAAAATGCAACAGAAGGGACTGAAAAATGATGAGACTTTGTACAGATTTGACTTATCTGTACACTGTTATTTTTTTCCTTCAATGTAAATAGGTGTGTTAACTATATTTTAAGTTTCCCTTGTTAGATATAGTTATTGCAATTATAATTTAAAAGACTAGAGGAGGTTCTCTTTAGAAGAGAAGGAAAGAAATAGTGATTGAATAGCTTCAGCAGTTTTTTAGACTTACATAATTTTCCTTCATTTATCCACATTGATTTTTTTTTTTCCTATTTCAGGTCATACTTATGCTATGAAACATATGATTTACCATATAATGTACATCATATAGAAAAAAAAAAAAGTAATTTACAAGATGTGTTAATTCCTTCATTTAAGTCCACTAGGAAAACACTTCAGTAATAGATCATCTGATTAAAAGTGCATATTTTATTATAGTTTCCAAGAAAAATCATCACTGAAACACTGCGAGATAAAGAGTTTGCTTTATCTTAGGCTATATCTTAGGATACTGTGTGGCTCTGCTTAAAGTACACAACTTCCAACTTTGGTGTCATATTGTGCACACAAAAGCACAATGGTTCTGGTTATTATCAGTCTTCCTGTATTAGGCAAAAGCAATAATTCTTAATATTCTAAATAGCTATTTAACTCAAAAATTATGATAAAGCTAAACATTGGAGTTAATTTCTTCTGAAAGATGTCACATTTTTTCTATGAGAAGAGGCAGAATCTAGTTTTTGTAGCTATAACTTTTACATAAAAACTTTACTGTGAGCATGTCACTTGACGTGAATGTAATGCCACTCACCAAAAAAAAAGCCTTCAAAACTATAAGAGGGATAAAAAAAAATTCATAAAAATTCTCTAAAAGGAGAAGTTGAGGCATAGAGAGATTATATTATGTATTTTTCAATGAGCAACCAATTTTCCCCAAATCAAATTTATATGCATCTAAAAAAATTAAAAGTTGCAATTGTCATAGTGTAACCTCACCAAAGCGGAACTAAAACGAAACCCATCTTAATTTTAACATTAATATTTACACAGAGATCATCTTTGTATTGTGTGTTACATTTTGGGACTCTGGGGTGGTGTACTGAGCTCAGCATGGCTCATTTTAAAAAAAGGCTATTTTCTAGCTCCCTAATATTATCTACTGTATTTATCCATTAATAAAACCGATAACCTCAGCTGATTCTGGATTATGAGCACAGAAATTTTCAAGACCTAAATATGTAAAATAAATATTTACAAGGGCACAAAGAAAATATAAACCAGAAATACAACCTGAATGTGGGAACACCAATTTCACATTGAGTTGGAAATTAGCAAAGGCAAGGGACATATTGAAAATATTAGAGCAGAAGAAGAAATTTTTTGAAGGCTCTAAAAGTACAATATAATCAGTCTATTGACACTCATTGTCTTGCTTAAAACATTACCAAATGTTACTTGAAATTAAACTGACTACATGGGCATGGCACTTTCAGTGCACTTTCTGTGTATTTTGAGTATTGTGGAATAACTGACAGCTAAAATATTTTGGAATTGTCCAATTTAGGCAAATCTTGTGCTGAAGATGTTGACCTTTTGAAAACTGATTCCTACTGCACATTGAGTTTTACTTCCCCTATCTTGTTTTTCCTTTAGCAATTATTCATCTTTTATGGCTTCCTACAGCTAAAAGCCTCAGCAACAGGAACATTTATTCAGAATCAGAATGGAAGATCTGGTACTTTTCTGTACATTAGAGGAAAAGAAAGTTCAATTTTCCTTCTGAAAAGCACAAGAAAGGCCATTACATAAGATGTAAAGACAGAGAGAAAAAGGGGCTGAATTCCCAAAATATTTGATGGCAGAAGTAATAATAGCAATGAATGAGGCCACATAAATGATTCATGAGACTCATTTTTTTCCTATTGTTACTAAAAAGAGACTCATTATTACTCAGGAAAAAAATGCTTTGTTGGTAAAAAGAAATCAGTATTTGCTATCAATTACTTTCATTAACACCGGGCCTTTGCACACAGTTTTAGAAATATATTTTATAACAATATAATTTTGTAATTTCATCCCTACTGTGCTTTGAGCCTTCTGAGGCCCACAAATCTCTTTAATACCTCCACTCTTGCTGATAATAAAAAGTCTTGTGGGTGTAGTAACAGCTAAAAATACAATAGTAAATGATTCATATATTCCCATTTCAGGGGTCAAAATGGGTAACAAAGAGACCACAAGCACATAAAATAAACATCCTACTCTAAAACAAAAGCAAGTTGTAGCTCCAGGATGATCACTTTGAAGACATGTGCCTCCTTTAAGAACATTTTCTTCTTTAGTTTGAAGGCTGTTAGAAATATCTGAACATATGTTCTGAGGCAATGAAATTTCAATGGGATATTATTTCCTTTTAAATCCCAATCTTTAAAACACTGACTTGCAACATGAGACAGCAACAAAAGAGAGTCAAGCTAAGAGTGCATATTTAGCAGAGAGATATAAGGAATAAATAGAGCTAAAACTGCTCCTTTTGATTTTGTAAACAATGTGTCATTAGAAACCAATGAAGACAATAAAGAATGGGATTACTATGCACCCATTTGAGAGATTTCAATCAATATTTAAATAGTTTTCAAGAATTTAATGTAAAACAGGGAGCTTTCTCAAATAAGCAATCAAACCATCCCATTAAGGCTATAATCACCATTATGCCTGGGTGTTGCTGTGCCTTAGAATAAACTTATTGAGGAAATACTGTTGAAGTGGTACCTCTGGCATTTACCTTTCTATTGTTTATGTGTTGGTTTTTGATGTTTTGTTTTTGTTTTATTTAATTGCTGTATATTATCTTGTTTGCTACTCAACTTCTAAATATAACAAATCCTTCCCAAATCTAGTTAACAGTAACTGAAAGCAAAAAAAGAAAGAAAAATACATAATATTCTTGATAAGACTATAAATATGTAAAAATGACTATGAGGCAAATGAGGTCAGCCTCACTGTTGAATACAGAGATTGTGCATCTGTGTGAATCATGTCTAATTACTAGTAGACTGTAGAGATTTGCTGTGAACAATCAGTCCTAATTTACCATAAAAACTTGTTATTGAACCTTCAGAAACAGGAGCTGGTATAGGACCCGTTTCCCATTTATGCCCTACAGTTGAGACACTAAAAAAAAATGGGCATCTGAGTAATATGTGCTTTCAAATCATGCTGGGATAATAAACTTAACTGATGAGGTTCAGTGTTTCTGTATAAACTGCAGAATGGCATTGCAGACATTTGATGAAAGGAAAGGAAAAAAAAAGAAACATGAGAAATCTTTGCTTCTTTCAGAGAAGCCAGAAAGTTTAAGCAACTTGATTTTGATTAATCAGATGAAAGAAAACACTTACAGGCTGAGAGACTGATGTGGGTCATACCCTTACAAATTCCATGGAGCATTTTGCACTGCTCTGTCATGAACAATTTTAGAGCTCTACAACAAGAGATCCAGCACTGGTTTCATAGATTATCTGTATGTAAGAGAAATGCAAACCACAGTGAAAATAAAGGGTTTCTACAGTATTCATATTTATTTTGTTTGTTTTTTTTTTATTTTCATGAGAGATGGGGTTTGCCTGGTTTTTTTTTAAGGCAGTGGATATACTGGGGAAGAGGGATGAAAAGAAATCAATAGATGGAAATCTTGCTTTGAAAGAAGCAAATAGGAGCAAAAACTATGTGCTGTTGTAATGCTAAGGGAAATGGTAAGCAGGTTTCAAAGCAGGAGAGAAATGCAAATTTGACATCTTACATAACTTCCTACTTTGCACATTAATATTAAAACTTTATAACTGTGATGCAAACTACAACTACTGCTGGGAAGAGGCACTTCCTGTCAGGGATAAGTACATTGCAAAAACCTCTTATTTTCTGCTCAGAGCTTCAACCTTCACACCATAAAATCTTCTAGTCACTGTACTGTCCTGATGAATTCTGAGCTTGGATGAAAGTGGTCTTCCCTGAAAGTTTTCAGTTCAGAGAGACTGAAATACATTTATATTTGTCTAAACTGCTGTACCACAGAAATTGTGGGTCTGACAGCTGCTTTTCCCAATATATGTGCTGAAAATCTTCCCAATCAATAGACTATCCTACCTTGATGCCTTGACCCCTAAAATTTTGGGATAGCTCAAATATGCATTTGAAGTGAATATCAATTAAACAAGAAGAAACAAACTCAAGATGAATGAGAAGTCACAGAGACATTGACTACAATTGGAGATCACAGAAAAGTTTCAAATTAAAAAAAAATTAAAATAGAAGGAGTGATTATAGAAAAGATAGAGCCAAGCACATACCACCAATTTTAGCTGACAATTGACATCCAGTCTACCATTTTAAACACACCACATATTAGGTTTTGGACTTCCACAGAGCCAAGAAGTCAGGTAAATGTCATGTCTAGTGCTCTGGAACCAGGGGCTTAGCTCTGTGTAACCATAATCCAAAGCACAACACAAAAAATGTGACAGTCTCTGCGAACTCTTCAAGGTTCATTATTGGCAATGAAATGTCACTGCAAGGAAAGGCTTGGAATCACAGAATACCTTGAGTTGGAAAGGACCCACTCAGTTCACCTGATCCTGCACAAAACAGTCCCAAGAATCAAGCCATGTGCTCAAGAGCATCGTCCAAATCTTGCTATGGACCCCTGGAAAATAATAAAAAAATATTTCATATAACAATTAACAATATTTTGCAAGATGTGCTAGCCACAAAATGTGGTTTGTCTTTCCAGTCTCTCTCTGCTAGGACTGCCTGGTGCAGGAAATACACTAATGTTTCCATTTGTTAAAGGAAGACCTCTAATTACATTTCAAGTAATTGGAGGAACTAAAGTAATACTTTTAATGGAATCTTTTACTTTGGATAAACAAAGTCAAACAGCATAAAGTTGCAGGGGGGGAGAGAAACAAATTTTTGTTTCTATAGCCAGTCCTCCATTAGAAGCAGCTGTTTTTAATGAACTCAAATCTAATCCTTTGCCTTGAAAACAATGAAGCTCATAGTTCTAGATCCTGTGACCCAAATGTCCCAAGTTTTATTGATTCACAAGGCCATTAAAAACCTGAGTCCCTTAATGGAGTAAATGGCATCTTTAATAGGATATCTCCTGTGTGTCTTACCAGAAACCTCTTGTGTAATGGCCTAAGTTATGCTGGACATAAAGGGCTGGATAATTGAGTATTGTATTGGGACATAAATATGTAACACAGTTCCAAGAAATGACAGTCATGGCCATCCACATCCCTCTCCCATTCCTCACCCCACAGTTACTAGAAATTGCTCATGCTATTGCAGCTATAGTTGAAAAGAAGAAATAAATGGACATGGCTGTTACTTATACCATCCTTGAGCATGATTTGAAATGTTATGCATTGGTGTTCAATATCTACTGAACTGAACTTGGAAAACAGGAGGGTTTTGTAAAGAGATAGAAAGCCGACCAAAAGTAGCAAAAAAGAAGAAAGTAGCAATTGAAGGGGATAATTCCATTTACAGCTTTAGGTGACTTACTGCACAGGTGTAAAAGGTAAGTGTCAGGCATTAGCTTTTATTGCTCATTTAAAAGAAGAAGGAATTTGGAAATGGAAAGAAATGGCAATTGTGAGTAATGTAGTCAGTGTCAGAGCCAGCTTGCAAGCCCATGGTAGACAAAGAATGGTGTAACAAGATCAGATTAAAGTTTATGATTGTAAAAAACAGGCATGACTTTGCAGCAGAAAAAAAAAAAGACCAGAGACTGAATTAACTAATGCCAGGGAGGATTTTTTATAGTATTATTTGAAATCATATTGATATATTTTCTGCTCAAGCTGGAATATAAATTTGGTAAGCATAATTCACAATACAAAAGCAAAAGGAAGTACTACTTTAGCTATTGAACTTTATGTCTAGAAAATTATTTAAAACATCTAAAACCTCAGTTAAGAGATCCCACATCTGAAAGAAAATATCAAACAAAAACTGCTACTTTAAACAAAAGCTACAAATTAAAGATGTTTCCTCTGCTAGGAGAACTGCTCTAGTTTACCAGGTTAGTTAATCAGTTTACCAGTTAGAACTGACAATTCCTTCTTTCAGAGGAACTGAGCAAGACAATAATTGAAATCTAGCCACAGTTTCCTATTCGGAAACAAACTGAGCAGACAGTGAGACAGAATTTAATGGTCAATTGTTTGTTCACACACTGATAACTACAATTATCATAATAGTAAACATTAAAAAAGCAATTTATTTTGAATAGCTCCTAAGTCATGACCATAAGTGACAGCAGTAGGATTACCTATGAAATCAGTTAAACAAAAACTCATGTTGTGTAAGATGATAACCCTCATGAAAATTTCAACTGATATCAATGGAATTATTTGGAACATAAGTTATACATGACAGAATATAGCCTTTCATAGAAACATGAAGAAAATTTAAATTTTTTGCCTTTTTCCCAGAGGAAAAAAAAAATCAAACCCAAGGTAACACAAGGAAAAAACCTTAGGTGGTTTTATTACTAGAGAACTTGAAATTATATTAGCATAATTTATTTTGTATATCAGAATAATACAACATAGTGATAATCATGACTACTAAAAGAACAAGGCAATAGGGACTTTAAAAAATTAACCAATGTTTGCTTGATTTCTACTCTTGAGAAAAATCCTGTGGGTTTAAGGAAGAATGAGGCAAGCCTGGTCTTCCAAGAAGAAAAATATCTATCAATCTCTACAGAAAACCACTAAACATGTGGCTGAACATTTAAATGGTATCGTTATAGTCATGGATAATTGCCAGAAAAATTATGATTGCATGAAAATCAGCATCTATTTTCAGGCAAAATTCAGGCCAAATTTGTCTCAAGACACTTTATGCCTCATTTTCCCCCCTGCTCCCCCTTATCTTTCAGAAGTGCAGCAGCAAGTTGAGAGATGAAGAACGTGTATATGTTACACTTCTGAAAGTACTGGCAATCTCCAGGGGAAAAAAAAAATCTCTTCTCATGAGACATCTCCAAAGAGCAAGATACTTTGTCTAAACTTCAGTGGTTTAATTAGGTTAATTTAAGTTTTAAGACACAAGTCAAAGGTTCATTCCCAGCTGTGAAATGTTTTTTACCAACCCCCCACTGAAAACATTCAAGTTGCTGCTTCCTTAATAGCAACATTTGTTCCTATCCAAGCACTGCTGTGGCAGACTGTGAGAAATTACAGGATACAAGTGGGAATTAATATTGCAATTAAAGGTTTTGAGTTTTGAGTGAAAGATTAAATAAACAGATTTAATCCACATTTTTCATAATTGAAAACAATTAAAAAGCAGAAACAAAAATTAAGGCAAACACAATCTAGAATATTAAGAACTGATGGTAGCTAGAATTTGTCTCTCAAAGGGGCCCAACTACATGAAGAAAATGACTTTAAAAAGTGAATTGAAAAAAGAAATAGATAAATTAGTAAATGGAGATGTGGGATAGACACAGAAAGAAAATGGGAACAAAAAATAACACATATTTGTTTGTTTTAGATGCAATAATTTAGATCATGGTTTCATTGCTTTTGTATCTGGAAAGGAAGCATTGTGCTCACTTTAAGTAAGACAAATACGGTAAATAATGGACTGTGGGGCCTGGAATAAAGAAGTAACAATTACTTTGGCTGATTTTGGCAGGTTTTGTACCCCTGAGAGTAGCATGATCTTACCTTTTTACCAAAAATCACTTGTGTGGGGAGTATTGGAAGGCAAAATAGTCACGGGCAAAATTCTAGGCAGAAGAATAGGAACTGGTTAAGACCATCACTGAAAACTCAAAAGAAAATAAAATCAATCTGGCAGTCAAGCACCACTGTGTAAGGCCAAGGAAGGAACTGTATTCCAGGGAAACAAAAGCCTCTCTGATTCCTACCAGAGAGGTAAAGGGAATGAAAATCTATTACCAACGAAACTTATTGCTAAACTGAAGTGTAGCAGAAATGTCACCAAAAGTACTTTCCATCTCCATATCTTCCACTTCTAGAATTCTCTTACTATCTCTGTTTTGTCATCCCACTCTTGAGGTTATTTGCTAACTGTAACGGGGAGTCTGATGTAATGCCTGAAGTGTTCACCCAGCTTATAACACATTGAAAATGTTTACCAAAACAGCAGTGCAATAATCCCTTCAGGTGTCTGACTTGAGTGAACCTGAGTAAAAACTGGCACATACATTGCATAAAATCCTTAGCAGTGCTGAGGTTCGTATTGTATCAGGTATGAGAAATAATGAAGCACAAATATGCACAAACTCCAGCTTCAACCATGTAATATCCTCCCAGAGAGAAAGTTAGAGGTGAGACAGATAACCAGGAATGCTGGCCCAGATGGGACGCTGGGAGCAGGTTCAGAGCCCAGAACACAGGATCTGTTAAGTTTGGTAATTTCTGAGACGTTCGTCGTTGGAAGGAATGATGAATTTGACTCTATGTTTTTAGAAGGCCAATTTATTATCTTATGATATTATATTATATAAAGAATACTAAACTAAACTATACTAAAAAATACAACAGGATATAGACAGAATGTTAAAAGATATTAATGCAAAACTTGTGACTCTTTCTCCAGAGTCCAACACAGCTTGGCCATCATTGACCAATAAATAAAAACAATTTACATGTTAAATAAACAATCTCCAACCACATTCTAAAGCAGCAAAACACAGGAGAAACCAATGAGATAATATTGTTTTCCTTTTTCTCTAAAGCTTCTCAGCTTCCCAGGAGAAAAATCCTGGGCAAAAATATTTTTCAGAAAATATGACAGTAACAGTTAAACAATAGAGAAAAAGGACAGATTCTGTTAACAAAATAGTTGGAGGAGGAACAGCAGTACTGGGAAATGATATTCACAGAAAAGTCCAGCTGTCTTTCCTCGTGGTCTATGAACACCTCTGTGATTTGAAACCATGTTGATTTAACCACACATCCTAAACAGAAGTAATTCTGCAAAACAAANAACAGTTAAACAATAGAGAAAAAGGACAGATTCTGTTAACAAAATAGTTGGAGGAGGAACAGCAGTACTGGGAAATGATATTCACAGAAAAGTCCAGCTGTCTTTCCTCGTGGTCTATGAACACCTCTGTGATTTGAAACCATGTTGATTTAACCACACATCCTAAACAGAAGTAATTCTGCAAAACAAATTAAAATCATGGAACGGTTTGGGTCGGGAGGTGCCTTCCAAGCTCACTTAATTCAACCCTCTTGTCAGAGGCAGGGGCACCTTCCATTAGACCAGGTTACTCAAAGCCCCATCCAACCTGGCCTTGAAAACTCAAAATGATGGGACATCTACAACTTCTCTGTACATCCTGGGCCAACATCTCATCATCCCTATGCCAAAGAATTTCTTCCTGAGTCCCATTTATGGCTACTGTCTTTCAGCTTAAAATCATTGCTCTTCATCCTGTCATCATGAACTTTGGTTAAAGTCTAGTGCTATGTGGCACTTTGTCCTCTTATCAGCCCCATTTACATATTCAAAGGCTAAAATGCTCCTACTTATGTACTTCAGGTGTACAACCATGCTGTCTCACCAATTATTTCCTTCAAATAATGTTCCACACTCTGTCCAAATTTCACTTATAGAAAATTGAGCTTGTGAGGGTCAATGCTTCACAAGAAAATAGTACAGTGACTTATATTCCTTTTTAGCATTATTGATTTCTGCTAAGAGTTCTAAAGAGATCTGATACGCATTTTTGATGTTTATGAGATCTCTTGGTTATCTCTTTTCTCTTTAGATCCCTGATTCTATTAGCATCCATAATTATACAGTCATCAGCCTTTTTAGACTTTCCAACTATTGTTCTGTAAAAGCTGCAGTAAAATACTTATGCTGTTGATTTTTTTTTGTTTGTTTTATGGCATAAAATATCTGTGAAACCTTTTAGCTTTGTTCTGCCTGCAGACTTACTTTCACTTAAAAGGAAAGTTTAAGATATATTTCAAAGTTTTAATTACAATCAGAAGTTTTCCATTTTACTTAGAAAAGCCATGAGAACAGGAGATAATGGCTACCTTAATTTTTCAATTAAATGTAGCAATGGCATATGCATACATAAATGTATAAGGAATACAGATGCTAGAAATACTAATGAATCTATTTTTCTTTTTCCCCAGCAGAGGACTACAATCTGTTGAAATTGAAGACTGAAATCAGGATGGGAAAAGGACACATGGAACCATCTTTCCTCTGCAAGGAGCAGAGGGAAAAATCTTTTGTCAGTACCAGAGTTTAGTAAATTACACTGATTCATTCTTAGGTATTACAATGCAAAGTTTCTGCTCCTCTTTCCACCTACTGAATCCCATTCCTAACCACAGGTTAATCCTCTTTAAATGTCTGAAAAATAGCAAGATTAAGAAAAGCCTTTCCAATGGCTGGGTTGTCACTCACAAGGACTCTTATCTGTTTCAGTAATCTGGCAACGGAGTTCCTACCCCTGAAGCCTTGAAAAATGGTGAAAAAACTTCAAAACCCAAACACATTCAAAACACTGGCACACAAATTATTATTTTTAAAGCATAAGAAATTTCATGGTAACTTCTAATGAACTTTTAAAACCAATTACGGTACAAAATGCCACCATAAAAGCATTGCTTGTGATCAGGCTAAATTTAGTGGAAAGTTTACTGTTCGGGCAGCCTAAAATCTCTGATGCTTTTCCAAGTATCCATGTTTTTGGGAAAAAAAATAATTTCTTAACAGTACAATAAAATATCTCCCTGCCATAGAGCCTTTATTTCAATAATAATTCTAGAATTCCCTAGATCAAAACTCCTAACTGTTCTGTAAGATGGAATGTAGTGTTATTACACTCCAGATGCAGCCACTATTGCAATAATTAGGAGATAAATTATATGGTGTGTATCCTGATGAAAAGTAAGGACCATTCCCTTGCAAAAGATAATGCATCTCCTTAAATATTTATCTTTATATCATACTTGGAGAGGAGAGATACAGAAACAAGCGTGGTGTATCCAAATCTCATTTAGACAGGCAGAGTTTGCTTTATTCTGTGACTGGATATTTCAATAATACAAAGCAAATAAACTAAAAGGCAAACTCTGAAAGTGCCTTCCCTGGTCTGCAACCTTGGAAACTTCCACATGGAGCCTCACATCTGGCTAGACTGAAAAACAGCAGATGACAAGCTCCTCAATATCCAGCTTGCTGGAGTTTGGGAAGAATAAGATGCTGTACAAAATTAAGTCAAATTTCCGTGCGTCATAACAGAAAATATGCAACAGCCAAACTACCTCTCAGACAAGGCCCTGCCACAAACCATTCAACTGAAAAAGGAAGAGATGATTCTTAATTCTTTACCATATTGTGAGGAGGAGAGGAAGGCTGACTGAAACAGCCAAGCTTTTCAAGAGCACTGATGAAATTTACACAGTTTTTCACTTCCACATGGGCCAGTAGGCTTTGGAAATCTGTGTTGCTTCTGCAGCTGGTGCAGAAAGCATGAGAGAATAGTTGACTACTGAAAATCATCTGAAATGAAGGATGCAGGAACACTGAGAGGGACAAGCTGACCCACAGCTGTTCTGAAGTTGATGTCTAGTTACTCCCAGGCCCCAGTCTGTCACCACCCACACCATGTGTTGGTTGTATAAATACCCTTTGCTTTGCCATTTTCTCTACTTGACAAAATCCAAACATCTATCCAAGATTCCTCACCCTAGGAGCTGCTAAATGGACAAGGCAATGAAACTGTTCCAGGTTTGGCTCTTTCCACAACACATAACCCTCAGAAACTGTCTGATCAAGTTCTGCAATTTCAAGCACTTCCATATGCCATCACACCACCCTTGAGCAAATATGACAGAGCTTTCTGCTATAGAACTGCACTCTGCTGAGCTGCAGCACAGTCCTCACATTGTTTCAAACAGTTTGAAAAGAAAACAAAACAAAAGAAAAAGGCACATCGAGTTTAAAGTTGACTCTGAGGCTGAGAAATGGGGATTAAAGCAACACTGCCCTACCTGGATGCAGTTAGCAGTTTCTGGGTTACCACAGATTGGCAATCAGGATTGCAATGTACAGCATTACAAAGCCACAGCCACATCAAAAAAACAGTGTCATAGAGACATCCTGTCATTTTAGGAACCAGAACTGCTTTTTTTCAGGATACCAATTCAGTGGTGGTTAAATCTCTTCAGTCTGGCTCAGGGCTATCAGAGTGCCTGCTCTACTTTGTGTCCTTCATCAGAAAATTATTTCTGTACTTAACACAGACTTGCAGTAGTTAAGACTAATAAAGAAAAACAGTAGACAAGATCCAAAACAGAGGAATGTCTGTGCAAAACTGCAGAATTTCATCCTATTCAAAAGAATTTTACCTTGATTTTGATGTTTCTGCTGGTGAGGTGGTTGTAGCAGTGACATCACAGTGGTGTAAACCCCTGTGCTGCCCGGGGTGGGTGGGTTGGACTCCTCAGTCAAACCCAGGAGAGATGGATCCTGGCTGTTCCACACATCCTTGGCAGCAATTCCAGCCAACCCTTCCTTAGTTCACACAGGTGGGATGGGGCAGGGGAATCTTCACAGCATCTCTTAAATCTTGCCTTTTCCAATAGGTCAGAATCATGGGGAAAATCCCATCTTCAATAAATTCTGTAAAAACCAAAATTTGGGTTGATTGCTCAAAGATCTATCATACTGAAAAAAAGAAAAATTATGTCGTTTACATTATTTTTATAATTAGAATAATTAATGCTTAATTATATTCTAATGTCTTCATTGACTTCAGGAATTTTAGTGTCAAACAGAAAGAATTAGGACCACAGTATTTGTTTGCAGCAATGCCAATATTACAGACCCTCCTCTGATTATTTTGCTTAATGAAAATTATGATATGTGCATATTAAACAGATTTTTTTTTAATTTCCTATTAAAAAACCGTCTGGCTTGATCAACTGGAGATAACAGATTGGCTGACTTTAAGAGCATCTAGAAATGTAAAGAGAAAATTCTGTGATGATCTTTGGCATTAAAAAAAAAGGAACACTCTATAAAGGATGAGAAAAAATAATAATAGTTAGTATGAAAAAGTCATATTCTTTCTTTCACCCGCTAAAAATAAATATTATTTAAACCAAAAATACTGTGTCGTTGAATATTTTAGAGCACAAATCTACAGAAGGAAGGAAAATCTGAAACAATTTCTTTTAATAAGTTGAAACACCCAGGGACAAGAAATTGCGCAAAAAACTGTCTCCCTGGGGATACTTTTATTAATATCAGCTTTTGTTGAGAATTCAGTGAGCAGAATTTTCTTTTATAGTTTGTTCAGTTTTAGCTGACGTACCTAGAATTTTTTATTTTTATTCTAAAATGGAGCTACTTGAGCAAAACAACATATTGATGCTATCATATTTTGTAATGACTCTGTGGTCCCATGACCAGAATGAATTAGGAAAACAACCCAAATGTCATGTCCTTATTGTCTGAAACTTCCCTGGGAATTAGCAGCCCTGAATTTTTCAATAAATCCCTTAAGGAGCGTGAAATTTGCACACAAACACAAGCACACACAATTCTATTAACTCTGCACAATTTATCCAAACTTTCCTTAAATTCTTTTGGCAACTTATATGAATAAACTGATTTTTAAAATGAAAGAATGAGGAGGCAATGAGACTGAGAAAATGGAAAAGGAAAACCTATATGCATTTTCTTCCAAACCATGGAGTTATATAGCATTTTAAATAATCATTCAAACACATGGGAAGGTGTTTCTCTATTCTAATGTACTGAAAAAAGTCTATCTATAACTAGGTAATATAAATTCCTATTGCAATGATACTGGAGTATGATCATTTCCTTCCTGATTTTGTATAAATAATAAAGGACTGCTATGAGGGACAGTTTTCTTGCAACTAGCTCAAGCAAGAATAGCAAATAACACCATCTAATCTGGAGAGAAATATTTCTGTTCTGAGTAGGTGTTTAAAGTGTTTTAAAGATCAGTTTGCTTTTATTATAGGATTCAATTTTTGTGCATTTTTTGAATATATTACTTCTTGGAAGATCAGAAAAAACCTCCGATTTATATTTATAAGCCTTTCATCTGCACTAAAATCCACAGACACAAAGTTGTTATGCTTTTTTGACTGAGGCAGGTTTTAAATCAGTTTATTCTGAATCCTAGCAGACAACAGTTTATCAAGCAACACAGTGGGGCTGTTATAACCTGCAACTGTGCTGACAAACTCTGTACTGCCAAATACAACTCAATTATTTAATGCCTTCCAATTAAATTAAGATACTTGCTCTCATAGTGAAAAACACAGCAAACCCACCCAGATAATTTCTTCTGACCACAACTCCAGTTCAGTTCTACCTATTAATTTGCTGGTCCCAAATCTCTTGGGCTTTACCTTTAGTATAAGTGAAAAAAATGTGCATGTTTTCAACAGAATTAGCTTCTTCAAACCAGAGAAACATGAGGCCACCCATTTTTTATCACCTTACAAATGGTTCCACTGCTAAGTTAGGAAGAAAAATAGTACATTAAATCATCCTAGTAAGTATAAGGCAGTTTTACTTTAATTTGATGATTACAGGCAATCTAGTTTTGCTCCCAGCATTTAGCATAAAACTACGAGAATTTATCTTTACCAGCATTTTGGCATGAACTAGATGCCTGAGTTTTTATGGGAATAAAATACAACTTCACTGAGTGGCCAATTTCCTTGATGTGTTTAATTTTAGCTAGTTGACCACTAAATAAGTCTCCAAAAACCATGAGGGAGGAGGGAAAAAAGATGCACTTTATTTTGAGGTTTGAGGATGGGCAACTTGGAGCAACATTATTAACACAGGTTTATATGTCAGCACTTATCAGGAGAGTGTTTACACTGATAAGGGCTTGCACCAAAGGGAGAGAGGGGAAAGAAGGAAGGAAAAGGAAGACATCAGTGCTGAAGATCTGTCAGGAAAAGAACTGCTTGTGTGTAATTCATTCTCCCCATTTTCAAACAAAATATGAGCCAAGTACATTCAGGTCATGAACAGCATTCAAACACACACGTTTCATGGGCCAGAGGAAAGTGGTGATCCCACCCCAAATCTGCCCCAAAATTCCTCCAGAAAAGCTGTGGTTGGTGTGTGTAACCAAAGGTGCCTACCAAGCACAAAACTGTCAGCCCATTTCTGAGCTGCCTCTGTGATAACAAAGGAGAGCAGAGTCTTGATCAGCTTCCAGCACGAACTGTTTGAAGCCTCTAAATTTTGCCTACCTCCCATAAGCAGACATATGGCAGCCTGAATATTTAAGTGCATGCATTTCCTGTAAGCTTTTCCTGAAGAAGAAGAAGAATAAAAAAAAAGTTTTAGCATGATTTATTTATTTATTTACAGATTGTGGCATTGAAGTACCTGACTCCTACTGAGTGATCTGGCATTCCACATTATCAAAACTTTCCTTAGGCCTTTAGGCATTGAGCATCGCACTTATATTCCATAAGACAATTTTCTTCCCTCCTGTCCTACTTCCTGCAGAGCCTAAATAGGTATAACCATTCAAATGGAAAATAAAACGATATATTTATAAAAAAAATAAAAAGAATATCTTGCAAAATTCTAATATTATTTATAGAGGCCAATTGATAATTATTATTTGAAATTATATCTGGTCATTAAGAATATATCATGGAAGATATAAAGGTATAAGATTTCTGAATATTTAGGCTTTGCTGCTTCATTCATTAAGAAACAATTACAACTTATATATCTGTATCTATCTATCTGTATATATATATTTATAAAACAAATATATATAACAAATACATGTATTTTTCTCTATTAACAATAATGTGGCCAGAAAATTAAAAGATTAAGTAAATTACAAGAAAGTTGAAGTATATAAGTATATATTTTATATATGTATATATATATATATATGTATATATAGGTCTGGGAGGCTTATGTTCTGCAGTCTGAGACAGAAAAGAATATGTATTTTTCCTCTTGTGACTACAACTTGAGGCTGACTTCCTTGGCTTGTACTTTTGGTGCTAAAATGCTGCTTCTGTATCAGCAAGTACACCTGCCTTTCTCACTAAGCAGATGTTCTCCACAGAACAGGAGATTAATGGCTGCTCTGGCCTCTCTACTGAATGCAAATATTATTGTCAACATTAACAGGAGCTAAATGACAAATTCATTTCTGGTGTCATTATGGAGAAGGATGTAAACCCCAAAAATTTGCTTTCAGAGCCTGTGGCCACATTCACACGTGCACCCCTACTCAAAGCTGCCCTTTGATCACCCCATCATTCTTTTTGATCCATACAAGTAAGGAAGCTTCTGTGGAAGGATCTACACTCTTATTCAGGTTTCTTCAAAGACACGCTGGCATTGTCACCAGTCCTCTTTTGCCAATTTTTTTAAGTCCCTAAGAAAAAGCTCCAGTGAGGAGGAGAACTGTTTGTTCCCCATGATAATTTTGATGACATTAATCACTCAAACTATTAAGGCCCACCACTTAGACCATGGTATTACAAAGAAGCCCACAATTATCAACCAGAAAACATAATTTTGGGAGTACATAAAATGTCACTGTCAAATGCAGAACACACATACCTACCTGTAGGCAATTTAATTGTCGCTACCTTAATTTAAAGCTTGGTGCGTGAGTTATGTTAATACCTGGGCCACTCCTCTAACATGCTAGAACAATCCATATGATTCAATCTAGAATCATACAGAAATCTTTCTGCTTCTCTGTCCTTTTACTATTTCTGTTTGTGCAAGGAATATATTCTTCTAAACCCTTCCTTTCCCTAGGAAGGGTTTAACGTCAAGAAATCCCGAGCAAGAACACATCCAAAGACTTTGCTGAAAGTGCTTAAACTTGTAGATAAAGACTCTAAGCTTGTATAATCAGAAACATTTCAATTAATAAAATTTCAATTTCTTTCTCTGTATCATCAGCAGATGGTTTACTTATTGTTGTTATAACACCTAGCAATGTGAGCCAAAGTAATTAACATCATATAAATTAATAAGTACTTAAATGAAGTATCAGCATTTAAAAGCCCTAATTTTTCTGGTGAAAAATTGAACAGCTGACTTGTAATTCAAGATAATTCACAATAGCAACTAAAAAAATATCAAATTTATGTGGTTATATAGCATTTTATTATTTAAAATATCATAGCGGGGGTAATGTAGCCATGATTTTAATATATTAATAGAGTTATAGCTCTGATGTAGTGGTTGTTTTGTGTGCAATAGTGTGTGATAATAATCCTTGTTATTTTCTTATCTAAACAAGCAACATTTGATAATCATGACCAAACCATCCTAGTTTTTTATTCTTCAATTTACTTTTCATTATAACTGAGATGATGAGCACTTACACTCAAAAGCATATTACCAAATAACAGAACAAATTTTTAACAGACACATACTGCAGATATTTCTTTTCTAGACCTACTACACGTTGATTTTTATTTATTTCCCCTGAGTACTACTGCATACAACAGAGGGAGATGACAGGTTAGGACATTTAGTTCCTACACCCTTAGCAATAGCATTGCCCAAATTTCAGAATTTGTGCACTTAGGGTACATTGCACCCAGAGTTGGTGTGTGAAAGAGGAAAACAATTTCATTACTTGGAGTTTTTCATCTGACTAAATCTGTTTGAGAACTGATATCAGAACAGTAATTATACAGAGAAAAAACCAGCTTGTGTCCTTGGCTTATTTTCTAAATGGGGTATCTGACACCAACAGTATATATTTAATGGAAAATGAAAGCCTAGTAATTAGATTTTGATTTCAGTTTTAATCTGTCATTTAATCAGACAGCTACACTAAATTGTACAGTGGATTTTAAAGCTTTACATCAATTTTATCTTGCATTCACAGCTGAAAAGGAACTTTATTCAGTATGCTATGATAAAAAAGAATGGATGAATGAGCTCTGGAAAAATACAGATAGGTAGGCATTATAGACATAGATATGGAATATTTTTGGACACAGGTCACAAATATTGTTATCCCTAAATCATTTTGTCAATACCAAAGCTTTTGTTAGTCATTGTGTGCCTGTGCTGCAGAGTGGCAGCTGCTTAGGCATCATTTAGGCTCCTCAATGACTAATAAAGAACATATTATAAAGATGCAAAGGGTTAAAGTTGGTTTTAGTTAGGGGAATCAGCATGTCTACTATGTTTCATTAATCAGGCTTCTTAAATCTGATAAATTTCTCCTTGTCCAAGGGCCCAAATGGCTACACCACAACAGCAGTAATCTCCTGTGATAGAAATGTAGACATAGACATATTTTGCTTTTTACAGCTGTAATAGTCTTCCTCATTCACACTGCTGTGGTTTCCTATGAGCAGTAACACATAATTTTTTTTCCACTACAGATTGACCTTGTCTTATCAGTCCATTTATTAATCATTGAAATATTCCTCCAGTGCAGCAGTGTACACACCCATATATACACACCTATAGAGGAAACCGTGAAATGTATACACAGTACTGCAGCATCTACAGCTGCTGCTCTGAGAAGTGAGCTCAAAAGCCCTTGCAGGAGGTCTGGGAGCAGCTCCTGGTGCCATTGGATCTGTGCACACTGGATTCAGCCTCTGAAACTGCACGTGAGATTGGTCTGGAGCCACCAGGGCAGCAGTGTGGTTAGGGGGGATTTCGGGCATTACTTATGAACAGATTCTCTTGTGCACAGTGGCACTGCTGAGAATTTGGGATTATGCAAGCCAGACAGGTCTAGCAGGAGCAGGGGTTTACACTGTGCATATTTAGCACATTTCATCAGTGCTTCAGTTAACATTATCTTAAGGACCATTCAAATTCAGCGGTAGAGAAAATAACAGGATACCTAGAAAGTTTTGGCAAGCAAACCCTCTCAGTCTCTCTCTCACCTTTAACCTCAGAAACTGCTCTCAAAACCTAAATCCTTGAAGCCTCTGTATTGCACTTAGCTTTATGTGAATTCATAGAAGGCTTCACACATTCACAGAATTCACACAGAGAATGACTACGTCACCTTGTCCTTCCTCTGCTCTCAGCTGCTGACATATAGTCCAAGGTTCAATGACAAAGTCTGAACAAACAGGAATGGGTCTGTTGAGAAAAAAATGAAATTGCTGTTTAAGGACCTGAAATACATTTATGACACGCATAGGGGAGTTTTAGTTCAGAATAACTGTAGTTTGAAGGCTCATGCACATTAATGCTTGGAGCAAATAGACATATTCCTGGATCATGGCTTCTGGCTTATTTTAACCCAAAAGGAATCTCATTTGCATGCCATCAGGCTGCTCTGTGATGAAACCAGAGCACAGAAGGAAGGGCAGCAAGGAGATGAACTTCAAATCCCATGCTAATGCAGGCATACCTGGTGAAACATTTAGCTGGGCTGAGCCGGAATGTAGGACACCCAAAATGTAATAAAGTCACTGTTTGCTTTCCTCTTGACAGCCAATGTTCCTGGTTTCATCCTCTCCATCTGTGGCTCATCCCACACACTTCCTGCTGTTCAGTGACTTGGAGTTTTAGATATTCATAACCACATTCCCACAGATAGCATCAGATACCTGAGATTTACACTAAAAACTGGGGGAGAGAGGGAATGGACAGTTTGTGTTTTCAGTGCTTCATCCCTGGCCACTTCTGGAAATGCCCAGTACTGCTGGTCCATTCTCAAAAGCTTCAAGGGGAGACCTTGGGTAAATGAAACAATGAAATAATTATTTTTGCATATGATTTCAAGGCATAATTCAGTGTACAGTCAACACGTGATCCCAGCAAAAGTTCTTTTTCGTTCCCTTGATTATAGTAATTACCATTACAAACTTCTGTCTATTTCTGTCCAGGACCACTGATTCTATTGTTTTAAAACAATTACCTTTTGATTCTCACATGGATTTTAGACACAGTGTATTTAAAACTGTGTTACCTCAGAAACTCAAAATATTTACTAACAATTACCTCATAAACTCAAAAATATTTAATCACTAAAACTTCACTTACTGCAAATTCCTTTGTATTTCCACACTTTTCTTACTTAGCTTGCTTTTATTTAATTTGGTGTCTTTAAAAGCTAATTATTTGATTTTTAGTCAGGAGAGTGATTAATTACAAAAATACACAGAGGAGAAAAATATATTGGACCGTGTGCTGTAAGCTTGGAATAGCAGTTTCCAAACAAAATAAAGCTGCATCCTCTGAATTATTTTCCAGATTGTTTACTGGCACTCTCAGTAAACTGTATTTGTTTAGGTCAATATTTGGTATTCACTGGGGTATTCATAGAAACAAAAATCTTAGAGAGTGTCTCCTATCTGTAAGAGAAATCTGTTTACTTTGCTGTACAACAAGAGCTTGCTTAAATTTTTAAACAGAACTTCTGATAGTCAAAAGGAAAAAAAACCCCAAAAAACTAGGGAAGGGTATTAGCCAAAATATCTGTCAACTAAACAGAACTTGTAAATCCAGTCAAACAACTAAAGGGCATTGCACTGTCAAATCATCAGCTTGCAGATCCCTGCCCTGTGGTTTGCTGTCTTTTAGAGAAGGATGCAGACTGTTTAGCTTTCCCAATCCCTCCCCCCTTCCATCTGCCTACTGACCCATGCAGCTGCCTTAGCGTTCGCACTCGCTCCACTGGAAATTTCATGCCTGCCTTGATAGAAGAAAGTAAAACGTCGCAGTGACAGCAGCTTCAATGGGACTGAGCAAAGAATGATGGAGAAGACTAAATGTGTTATATCTATGGGTAGCTGAGAATTGGATAAGAAAACTTCGTGAATCACTGTGCACCAGAACTGTCAGAACTGAACGTTTTAGGAGAAAAATGAAAAATACATGAAAGCCCCAAACCCAAAACTGCAGTTTGGATCTCCACTAGGAAGGGATGGAAATATACGTAAAGAATATGCACAGAAATTTAAGTGCTCAAATGCAGAATGAAACCATAAGTGCCTAATCTGCTAAAAATCATATTAAATTCTACTGAGACCCATTTATAATAAAAGTCTTGCCTGTTCCTGACCATCATTTTCTTCACCCTGGCATTTAGTAAAAATGCACTCTAGAAGGTAATTGAACATGCTTTTTCCCTCTGAGACCCATAAGCTTATTTACAAAGGAATATTTAAAGCAGTAACAATGTGATGGATCTCTACAGAATTATTTCCTTAAATATTCATGGAGGTAATCTTCTGAAGGGGCACACACTGGTTGATAAGCTTCCACAGGACTCACTGAGGCAGGATACCCTGCAGACAGGGTAAGCAAAAGGAATTGCAAGCCATTACACTTCACTAGAGTGCAAAATAAGTTTAGCCTGAGTAAAAAAGAACCTTCTCAGGAAAGACAGTGCAGCAAAAAATGTTATTTAAGGTAACAGTTTGAACAATTAATAAAACTTTTGGATGACAGGAAAGACATTGCCTCTGATACTCTGTGTTACAGCCTCTGTATTTTCTTGCACATAATATTTCTGTTTTTTCACTCCGTAGGCAACCCAGGCAAACTGCCAGGCACAACATCTAGGGAGGTAAAGTTGAGACCACAAGATTTTAATAGTGTTTACAGGCAGTGTTGCAATTAGCTATATCCAAATTTTAAAAAGCTATCCAACTACAAATCCTAGATTCATTTTAGCCTGAAGTAATACACTTTATTCCCTATTTTCAACATAGAAAGTTAGCTCTGTTTACTCCCACAAGCTATATCACCAGGCAAGAGAGATCAAGGGTTTCTCATTATTTTTTGTGAAACTCAGACTTTAAGGAAGATGACTACTGTACTCAATAATGCTAATCTCTTTAATCACAGTGAGTTGAGTTCAGTAGTAAAATATTTACTGCTGATGTTTTAGAACAATTTGAAGCCTTTGCTTTTGAAGACAATGATAATCACGTGGAAACTGGAGACACTTATATGAATAAATTTCACTATGCTGTACTGTACAATTCCATAGTTAAGAACCTGTGAACAATGAAATTATAAAGACTACTGGAAATTGTTGCAACAAAAGCACTTGGTAATTGTTATCTGAGGAGAAAATTACCAGAGAAAGTCTCTGCATAGCACGTGGCACATCACATATAGGCAGCTTCTCTTTTGGAAACAAACACACACATTCACTCTCTATGCATGACTATACAGTTTCACAGAAACTTTTGACTCTAATAAATTGAATCAAAGTACAGCAAACAAGTCACTGAAAACAAAGCAATGTCAATCCTATTCCTTGCCCACACTATTCTGCCTGGGGAATTGTTCCTCTCCTCTTTTTCCCTACACATGCATGTCTTCTCCTGTGTCATTCGAAATTACGGTGATACCAATGCTGGCAGTTAAATGTTCCAATCTGTGAGGCCACCTCCTTCTCTTTTGGTCAGCTCATGAAATACACAGCATTTGTGCTCATTTCTTCAATTGCATTTCTACCTGGAACCTGCAATAACTCCTATTATACCACCAAACAACATTCCTCAATCACTGAGGGTTTGTCACTGATAATCCAGTAAGAGAGCTCGTTATTAAAGCTGGTAAATACACACACATCTCACTTTGGCAGTAAATGAAGATCACACGGTTTCAGAGTTTCTACTTCCCTACTGAGGTAACCTCTTTTGGTTAAATATTTTCTCCTTTCTCTTGTTATTCTCCCCAAGTTCTAGACACTCACCAGCATATTTACCCATAGCTTTCTCAACCCAGCAGTGATGATTCACCTAACCTACATTATTGTAAATGGAATCTGCATGCATAAATTCCAGCTACCCTTTAGCATGATTGTGATAGTGCTTTAGATGGGAAAATTATCTGTAGAAATTTCTAGAGCAGTACTGACTTTTTTGTATACAGTAAATTATTGATGAATTGCTAAAGAAAACAATCTTAAGGTTTATTGCAGTACTTATTTGAATGTAACCACCCAATGAGTCACTCACAGGAATTATCTAGCTGCTCTTCATAGCCAATTGCACACATTATCTAAAAGCAACTGCCATACAAACAGAATTCCATTTCCAAATTGATGCAGTAGATATGGCCCGCTGCTCAAGGTGCTGTATCTCAATTATCCTGAAGGACAATTTTAGCAAATGAACTTCATTAAGCTTAGGTTTTATCAGTCACAACCTTGGCTGGCCATTGCCATTTTCTGGATGTGAAGTTTGTTCGCAAACACAGCATGGAAAAACCCAAGACAACAGAAAACTATTTCCGATGTTAGAAAATATAATTTGCTTTTATCACTGAATGTTTAAACGAGAACATTGTGGTGAAGCACTGCACAAAGAATTTGCTGAATCATGAGTAATGAGAAATTAACCTCAAGCAATCAGGAGATGGCTGTTTGCATAAATAAACAGTTAAAGCACACTTCATTCCTCTCTATTTCCATATCCATTCTTCCTTAACAGAAGTTTGTGGGTCCTTGGCACCCATTTCTGCTGGTCCCTGAGTGTGTTTCAATTACACCACAGTTCCTCTAACAAGAAATATAACTTCCCAGTTCTCAATAACTTACTGATATAACTAATTTCTCTATTTCTTTTCACCTCTCCCATTTAAAAATAAACCAAACACTGTTTCTTCTCCCATTTACTGTTGTCAGGAAAGACTTTAAAAGTTCAGAAAATATTGATATTTGGGGCAAAACAAGTGCTTGTAAATTCTTACCATTTCTAACATTGATTTGAACTCTTTCAGTTTCACTAAAAATGAGTCAAAGGTGGCCAAAGATAAAGATTTCATTTTCTCCAGCCCAAAATCTAGAGAGACTCCTCACTTTCTTCTTCAGTGCTAGAAAGGATTAAGAAAACATAGTATTTTGCAATGTTAAGAACAAAAAGGGAGATCAGATTCTATTGATATTTCAGTCAAAACCACAGGCAATGTGACAAACAATACAGATTCCTAATACTTGTGTTTTATCCAAACTGACTCAGCCATGCTTGGTCTTCAAACCAAAGCCTCAGTCTTTGACCTCAGTTTCATAGTGAAAAATAATCTGAAGGAACTTCTTTCATTTCACTTGTTCCCAGATACTCATATTTTATACATTTGTGCCCACTGTTTTCTTGAAAAACAAGTGATCTGGAATTCAGTTAGTTACTCAAAGCTCCCTCTTTTCTTTCATCTGATGAAATCCCTCAGACCACCAGGGTAATAGTACTATGCAGTGAGAAGTAAGGAGGCAAAGGCCTGCGAACATCATCTGAGAAAACAGATTTCCCCTCTCTCCCACCTTTAAATCTGCCAGGTCTCAATCTCTAAGTCACAGAAGACAGAATGGGAAGGGCTGTGATGAATAATTACTGCCAGTAACTTCCTCCTGTTGCTTTATTCCCTTCTTGTTCCACATTGCAGAATGCTGGTGGATGTGAGGAGTAGCTCTCTAGGCAGAGATAGCTTTGGGCAGCTAAAATACCTTTGTGAGCTTAAACTGCTTGCATTACCTGTGGCTAGCTGGTAGCCTGCTGTGAAAGGATGAACCAAACACCATGCGTAGGCATTAAAGATTTCTCATATATCAAATTTTTACCCTTTAATCTAGAAGGTTACTGTCACAGATGATGCACAGACCAATCCTTTTTTTTACCAATCAAATAAACAGATGACTCTAGTTAATGATTTCATGGTTTCTAGTACCCAGAACTATGATAAAATTGATATTCTGAACTCTATTGCAAGGACTAGGGAACAAATACATAAAAATTCTGTTCTGCTGTGATGTTTCCAGTTTGAATTTTTGAAGGCCAGTGTTTTGCTCTCAGTTGCATTATATTTGCTGCTCCTTTTGCTGAATTGCCTAAAAAAAAAAAAAAAATGAAGCACAGCCGTAACATGAGGAAGGACTTTGAGATAGAGAAATTTTTTTCTCCTTCATATTAGTCCACAGTAATCAGAATTTGCCACCTATTAGAACAACAAACTCTAGGAACAAAAGGAATCCCTTTATTCTTTTCTTCTGCTAAGGAATAAACTCTGTTTATCCTGTTATTCCTATGAATCATTTTGAATGCTCAGTTATGGGAGCAATTATCAGAGAAACTGGAAGTGTTGAAAATTGTTTATAAAGTAAGAAAAGTATTTTCAAAGTCAAAAAAGTTGAACATTAGGGATCAAGAAACACTGGCATTCAAAAAAGCAAGCAGTGTTCTCCAGTGTAGCTTTTAGAAAGCAGTTGTTGGTAACAGCATATACAACTTGCTATTTTCTGTGAGGATAATTAACACGAAGCCTTCTTACAAATGCCACTCAAAATGCAGAGCTGATGCTTTATGAGCTCAAAATATTTTGCTGCACAGAGCAACAAAAGGCAGCAGTTGGACTTCACTGAAGCTGTCACGCAGAGAGCACAGCTCTATCAGGCACACAAGGAAAGCTCTGAGGGGGTTAAAAGTCAATTGCAAGACCTGGGACCAGTGCCAATAAAATTGTACCTGGCCAGGCTTAAATTGAATTTTAGCTGCCAACTGTACATTTTGAGATCTCCAGAGGAAGCTGGTTCCTCTGTGTGGGTGAGGTAGACAGAGGCAGCTGTTGAAATGGAAACCACTGCATCAGACAACTTGGGAACTGATTGAATTTAAAATTGGACTTTCTTATGCCTTGGTTTTTGCCTCAGAATGCATTGAGGAGATGCAGGTGGCTGATAAACAGAAATGTATCACTCAGCCTAGAGGTTAAAAAACCCTTCCAGACAAACAAGAATTTTGTCTTTTGGGAAAGGGAAAAAAAAACCCTCAACAAATTCAGCAATAAGGTACAGACCCAGGCTCTTATTTGGAATAAATCAGATTAGTTATTCTGCTCTACGTCAACAGTAGACTGATGCCCAGGTTATTTAGTTAAGCCAGTGTAAAATTAATGTAATAATGCATTAATTTGAACGTAATTACATAAAAGTCTTACCCCAATATTGTCTCAAGTCTAGGATTAGAGCTGGACTTGAAATCATATATCCTGTAACACACATATGTGTCATACATGTGTGTGTGAGTATTCCCTAGTGAAAGGAATAAATTGCAATTTTTTTTTAACCTGTGAATAAACACAATTTAAAAAAGTTAGTATTTACAACTCCAAAATTGCATAGTAAGGATTCCTGGAATTAAATTGCTCCTGCATTATGAAGAAAGTGCTGGGTCACATCCTAATCTTTTCCCCTACAGGATTTCAGATAATTCTGATGTGGGGTTCTCAGGTGGTGTGATTTCTTTCAGCACCAGTGGGAGCTGCATTCCATTTACACCAGTGAAGGACCTAGTTTAGCATGTTCATTCAGCTGAGTCCAAGCTATAAATGTCCTGCTGAGTACACCTTCCTTGTCACCACTGATGGCCTTGGCGCCTGCTTCTACTTCCTACACAGGAAAGTCCATTTTTTATGTGACAATTTTTCTTTTTATAATAATATAAAGAGACAGAACAAATAAGGAAAGTATTTAACTCCTTCCAAAATAAGTAAAACCTGTAGTGTAACAGAGTTTACTGTGACCCTTCCTTGTATATTAGTCATTCTTGGTGATGTGTGAAGAGTTGCTCAGTCTTCATCTTAGCTGGAAGCAGGATGTTAAAGTGATCTTAGCCTGATATGGTGTCATCAACAACAGTAAAAATAGAAATGTACATTAAGGAAATTGCTTGTATTTCAGTAAGTCCAAGCCCACAGGTACCATTTTTGAGTTTACTGTTTAATCATGGTTTCTAAGAGCTGTTTTCATAGTGAGAACTCAGTTGAATTTGTCAACCCCAACAGTGAAGTGCTGTAAACCAAACTGATGACCCAAGGTCTTCAATGATTTTTTTTTTTGTGTAACATAACAAAACACTTGCTTTATATAAACCAGAAGCTGAAATCTACCTCTTTCTTCTTTTTTTTTTGTCCTTGATTTTTTTTTTCCACAAAATTTGAAACACAAATGGATGGAAGATGCAGGTTAAAATCTAGCCTCTCTTAAAAAAAACAAAATTACAGTATTTGTACAGGTCTATCTATACTCATATATGTATGTACAATTCCTATCGGATAGTACAAAAAATTATTCTTTCCCCACCATAGGAAGGTGAAGATAGAAAAATTAAACAAAGGTTCTTGGCCACCATAACATTAATTTAGAAAGGATCATAGACTGTCTTTCTCTAAATTATCAAAGAAAAAAGACTTACAGAAAGATGTTTATCTTGGTGCTCTTTTTCTGTGTTATCACTGCTTTAAAAAAGGAGGAAGCATTACTGGGTCAGTTCAATTCCTATTGTACCTGTCTGTCACAGCCCAGGTATGTAACTTCAGCCTGAGATCAAAAAAAATAATAGCACCAGTGAAAAAAATGAAATTAGAATAATAACTGACCTGGTATAACTTTAAGACCTGTTTGACTTTCAGATAAAAAAAAAAAAAAAGATCTTTGATAAAGTGAGCATTCTCTTTTATATGAAGCTTATTTTTAGCCTCAGTAGAACAGTGATATACTGCTCTCTGAGGAATAAGAAACAAGCATCATGGTTAACTTAATAGGGAATTTGACTTTGAATTTATTTCCTATTCAAGCTTCAAGAATTTTTCACAAAGACTAGAATATTTTGCACTATTTTAAAAGAACAAACAGAATTCTGCCTGTCCGTACTCTGTCTACAAACTAAAAAGCCCTCTCTGACAGCTGAATTAAATCCTCTTTGAGGTGAAAAAATGGAACCCCAAGTACAGTACCTCCCTGGCACAATATCATTGAGCAGTTCTAAGACCTTTGTTCTTTCTAAGCCTACTTTGAAAAGGAAAAGAGCAAAGATGTGCATGTGATATAATGGGGAATTTTCTTTGGTTGAATATTTCTTTCTTCCTTTCTCTGTGATTTATGTGAGTGCATAGGAAAATTTGCAATGGTCAGAGACCAGAAAGTTCCCCTATTGTAATTCTCTCATTTCACTTCTTTTTTTTTTTTTTTCTTTCCTGACACATTCATCCTTTTTCCATCTCCAGATGCTTTCAAGCTTCTACTTAAACTACTGGTGGTTTTGTTTTTGTTTTTGGTTTTTTTTGTTTTTTTTTTTTTTCCCAGTGCCTTCATGATACTTTAAATGTTTTGTTCTCTGTAGATGCAAAGTAACAAGTTAAGAATGCAAGGTGACCTGAAGCATAAGCAAAAAAAAAAGTAATAGAAACTCATTGTTCTGAAACTGGATACATAATTTCCAAATCTCAACAACATAAGTAGGTAACATTTCAAAGGGGAATACTTAACGTGTGTCCTCATGACAAACTAATGTACAGCTTCACCATTATCTAATTTGGTGCATATTTAATTTGCAGTTTACAATCATATATAAGCTTATCATTCATTATAACAAAGTGGGCATTTAATCAGCAAATCTACAAAGGGTGTACATATAGCAGATTAACCTCTCCTCTTTCAAGGCAAATTTAATTAAATTTCTGGTCCCACAGAAATAGACAGAAATATTCATACTTTGCAAAACATGTCTAACTGTGGTAATTTATAAGGGATAATCATATTGCTCTATTCCTTCAAGTTCTGGTTTCATTATCTTGCACAATAGTTTGGAGTTATTTTGCATTTTAAAGTGGTGGTTTTCTACCTGATAAAGTTACTGTTATTAATTTTGTTAATATGCCATACTACATGGTAAGACAAAGTGTTTTGGAGGCTTTTTTTGAGTTATGTTTTTATCAGAGACCCACCATTTAGGATGTGATGCTGTAAATGCAAATGATTGCATCAGTGTTTTACAGCTATGAGTTACTAGAGAAAAAAATTTCACTTTACAGTGATGTGTTTTCATTGGCATTTTAATAAAGCTGATTAACTAAAGATAGAATTCTAAAAAAGATTTTCCAGCTACATTTTCTGCTCTTCACTCAATAATTTATCCCAGCGCATCATTTCTTAAAGTGCAAGCAATATGCACAACCTAATTAATTTGCATTGGATTTGACATGAAAAATGCTAAAAATGGTAATTGGTATACCATACTGGTAATCATAAAGCAAGTAATAAAAATACATTAAATTAGATTTTTACCTCTAAAGACAAGGCCTAAGACTAAATTTATCTAGTGTGTTAACAAATAACCACTTATACATTTATCCAAAATAAGAGACCTGGGAATAAACTGGCACAGTGAGTTTCACAGAGGAATCTGCTATGGATTAAAATCAGGTCATTGGAATTCTGGACAAAACCTTTAATTCAAAGTATTTTTTTAAAACAAACTAACAGTAAAACTCCCTCTCCCCCCCAAAAAAACCCAACAAAACAAACCAAACAATTGCAAAATATCTCCCCTCCCTCCAATCTAGTTTTATTATTTGGTAGCAAGGAGCAGAAACAGTTATTTTAATAAAACCCATCACTCTTGGACTGCACTCAAAAATGTTTGATGTTTTCTTCTTGCTGTAGATGTCATCTCATGCTAAT